GGTGCGCCGCATGCTGTGCGCACGGGGGCTGCGCGGTGCGCTCTGCCACGACGCCGCGCACAGCATGCTCCGCAACTATGCTTGGGAGATGTCTTGTCATCAGCTGAGGTGTGATCTGTTGTTTCTCCCATGGGCATAATTTTACGCAAATCAAGTAACTTTTTTTTTTTCTTGATAGATGCCAAGTGACTGAGAAAGGACACGGCTCCTGCCCGGCCTTTTTCCAACTGCCTTCCCTTTTCCTGGAGGTTTAGGGCCTCACCACACGGCACAGGAAACGGGGGGGGAAAATGAGTGCATCTGCACAGAGAAATGGATGAATCTTTCCACTTCTCTGGAAAGATGGGACTCAAAAAAAGTTCCCCTCCCCCCCTTGTTTCGTGTTGGCATGTGGCGAGCCCCTTAGGTTATTGTCTTGGGATGTTGTGCACAGTCACTGTGACTCAGATGTACGCTTGTGCCCATTTGACTGTCTTCTTGCGAATAGAACTCACACTCATTATGGCTGCATCTGGGGCAACGTCCAGGTACAGCGATAATGACTGTGGGTTCTACTCAGGTGAAGACGGTAGTGGATATTATGGACGGTGGACAAGGGTTTGGGCCATTTGGGGCCTTCGGGCAGATTAGTCTGAGATTCAAAACCTGCCCTGCTCAGGCCCGCTGCAAAATTCTGTGAAGTCAGGACCGTCAAAAGAAAGCAATTTGAGAGGAAAGAAGGGGAAAAATGAAAGATGCAAGAAGGCAAAAAAGCAAAAAAGAGGAAAAAGAGAAGCCCAAGCGGGCTGGCTCAGTTGGTTGAGCATGTAAGTGGTATTCAGTAGGTTGTGGGTTCGATCCCCCATGTCGTCCATTTGATCCCCCATGGCCCCCTGTGATGGGCTTCGGATTCACCAGCGGGCCTCCTGGCTGGTTGTGGAAGTTGGTTAGGCTTTCCAGCTCATGCGAGGTGTTAGGAGCCGGAGTACTGCTCCCCGCACAGAGCAGAATAGGCTGGGAAGGCTGGAAAAACTCAACCTATAACCTTGATCATCCCTTGGAAAAACTGGACATATATGTAGGTAGGTAGGTAGAGTGAGGTATACGAGTGAAGAATACAGATTAGTTTTATATGCTTAAAAAAGGGAGAAAAAAGAGAAAAAGAAAAGGTAAAAGAGAGATCTGCCGGGTTTGGAACCTTCGGGCAGATAGGTCTGAGATTCAATACTTGCCCCGCTCAGGCTCACTGCAAAATTCTGTGAAGTCGGAATTTCCCAAAAAAAACAAATTGAGAGAAAAGAAGGGGGAGATGGGGAGAGAGGGGAGGGAAGGGAAGAAGGGGAGGGGTAATAAGTACTAATGACTTGTTTGGTGTCAAACATGTTGGTCTTGCTGGTACTGTAAACAGGTCTTTGAAGGTTGGTGTGCTGCCGCATTGTATGAAGAAAGTCGTGGAGCAGCGACAGACTCATAAGTCGCCAGATGTAAGAGCAGAAAGTGAGTACTACTTTGACAAATCACTACCGAGGTACCAGATTGCCCCTGGTCGTGGCAAAGGACAGCTGTGTGCTCTGAGCGGGCTCTGCCTAGCTCCCATTGAAGATGCAAAGAAGCTGAATCCAGCAGGGTGTGTTTCCCCTAACCTGCCTACACTGATTCCCTGTCCCTGTGCCTCTCAGCAGGGTGTGTTTCCCCTAACCTGCCTACACTGATTCCCTGTCCCTGTGCCTCTCACTTTCCTTAAGTTGCCATCCGTGCCGGGTTCTGATTTGTCTCCCTGCTGGCGAGTGTTCTATTTCGCTCTTTTTCGTCTTCACCTCTGTGAAGGACTGCCCAAGCAGTCCTGGTTGACCGAGCGGGTTTCTGTGTACAAAACAGTCCGCCATCCTTGTGTACGTGTTTCGTCCTCGTCCCTCCAGTTGTCACTTTTCTGTCTGTATCCTTGTCATCGGCCCTCTGTCGCTATCGCCATTTCTTTCTCCCACTTGCCCTCTGTCTCTTCATCTTGCCCTCTCTTCATTGTGCCCGTCCCCTCTAGACACCTCGCCATCTGCCCTTCTCCCCCTCTGGACGCCTCGCCATCTGCCCTTCTTCCCCTCTGGATGCCTCACCATCTGCCCTTCTCCCCCTCTGGACGCCTCACCATCTGCCCTTATCCCCCTCTTTCTGTTCGTTCCTCTCTTCCTCTCTTGTCCTACGTCTTTCGTCTGCATGTTAACTCTTACTTTCTCCATGGTCCCCATCTCTATTCACCCTCCCATTTCTTTCTCACACACTTGGCGCTCTGTCTCGTCATCTTGCCCTCTTCCTTGTGCCCATTCGCACTGGACCTCTCTCCCTTTGTCCTTCTCTGCTTCTGCCCATCTCTACCTCTGCCCCTCTCTTCCTCGTTTTCTTGGTTTCTCTCCCTCTCTCCTCCTGGCCCTTTTGTCTCCATGTTCTCTCTCACTCTCTCCTTGCTCCCTGTACTGCTCGGCCTAGCAGATCGATTACTCCAAGCTCTTGTAGAGTCTTTCCTCATGCTCGTAGCCGAGGTAATAGCAGGAGAGTTGTCATGAGAGTAGGGGAGGGTGATCTCGCGTACCCTTCTTTCATTCAGCGGTCGGAGGTCTTGGACCAGTGATCGCACCTTGGGTGATCAGGGCATTAGTCAGGCTCCTGAAGTTCTGGATGCTCTGCACAAACAATCACTGCTGGATCAAGGATCTGTCAGAGCTTGGAGTTTCAACTTCAAACGATTTTTAAAAGTTTTGTTATCTACTCTTTGCATCAAAGCTTATTTTGCTATTGTTTACTATAATACCATTATTATTTTATGTTTTAAGAAGTGGTTAGTCCCTAACATTATTGTTACGATTAGATTCAGTTTGATTCAAATCTGTCTGCTGAGTTTGAAGTTTGTACTCATGATCTGTGTACTACACATGTATACTGGTCAGCCACATGAGCTGCGTTCCTGCGAATCTTAGGTATGGCCACCGCCTACTCACGAATACAACGTATGGTCATTATTGCTGTATGTAGACTGAAAGTTGCCCCAAATACAGCGATGTTACCGTACGTTCTTCCTCCCCCCCCCCCTTTTCTAAAAGTATGACGGCCTTGAGCTATCATCTTCGAACTGACCGCCCCCAGATAAATTCTGAGTCATACAGTCTCTGAGTAGATTGGGATTTAAACTGAGGCCTGTATGTCAACAGTCCATGAGTGTACCAACTGAGCTAGGCCGTTGGTAGTGACCGTATGTTTTTTTTGTTTTTTTGTTTTTTTTGTTTGGACCATTTCTCGATTGATGCGTGTCATCCATGCCCAGGGGCCATGCTAATCTTCTCTGTATCATTCCTATTTTAACGGATGTCCCGAAGGACTGTGACCGTATGTTCTATTGGGGGAAGATGGTAATTTGTAAAATCCTATGTTTCAATTAGGACTGAGCATCATTGGCACTGGCTCCATGGACTGCCAGTTTAAGCTGCACAGTTGTCCGAAGTTGGCAGTCCATGGGGCCAATGCCAATGATGCTGAAAAAGCACTAGAGTTGGAACGCCCCTCGATGTATTATCCACGTCATTACCCATCTCACACTCTCTTCCAACTGTAACTGTTGAGGGCTTTAGTGGTGTCGCTGTGGTTTGCACTATCTTTCCTAGGTCTGCTCCCTGCGTCTTTTTTCTGTGTTTCTGTATGGTATGATCTTCCGCCTTGCACATCTTACTCTGTTATTTAGCTGCTAGGCACATTTGCATGGTCTTTTACAGGTCAGGTGTGCCAAACAGTAACGATCGCGAATGCGGTGGCCTCTACCATGCTTTGGGGAGATCGATGTCCCAGTCTATGGGTACTCAACTGCTGATACCAAAGCTGATTCTTTGTCGTCCTCTGTCTCCTGTGGCGTGCATGCTCTGTAACAGCTCAGGTGCGGCAATTACGGTCTTAACCCGAATAGAACGTACGGTCATTATAGCTGTATTTGGGACAGCTTTGAGTCTAGATAGATCAATAACCACCATACGTTGTATTCGGGTGAAGACAGTAGTAACGACCCTGAATGAAGGCGGCCTCTACGGTGTTTTTGGGACATAGATGTCTCAGGGAGTGGGTACTCGACTGGTCATACCAAAACTGCTGTTTCTTCCTCCTCCACCTCCTATGGCGTGCTCCCTGTTGGTCTTTGATTTGCTTATGTGCTTGTTGTTGACAGTTGTATAACGATGTACGATCACCAGTGGTTATGGTAATTGATGTCACTTGGTGGCCAATCTAAGTACCATATACTGTGAAGTAAGGGAGGCAGGGGAACAGGGCTGGAGGGAGGAAAACAGTGAAGGGGAGAAAGGAGAGGCAGTGGAGTGGGGAGGAAAACGAGGGAAGGGGACAGGAAAGGGATGTAGGAGAGGAGGAGGTGGGAGAAGGGAAAGGGGACGAAGAGAACAGGGAAGAAACGAAGAGAAAGGGATAGAGCAAGGGGGGAGGGAGAGGGGAGGACAGGTGTGTGTGTGTGTGTGTGTGTGTGTGTG